AAACAAACGTGTTTTAATATTTAGGTTTTAATGAGATGGCAACAATGAAAATGCATGCAGTACCAGACTCGTCATCATTCTGCGTCCCTTTGTGGATTCCTCAATTTGGATGACAAAGAAATGCAGTGGAGACAGCAGCTACATAAAGTCCCACAATTATGAAAGATATACTAAGGATCACCGGATACGTTTTTTTTGTATGTTTCACTATCTGGCTCAAGCAACCATCTGGATAAATTTTATTATCTTTTCCTTTGCACGAATCAGGAATTGTAATATTCATCTTTATCCAGTACAAAGAATCATCAACTCCACAACATTTGTACATTTTTTGTAGTTCATCTACGTATTTTCGTCATCCTTATTTTCGGTATACTTGTCAAATGTTGCAATTAATTCTTCTCTCTTGCTATCTTCTAGTGTCACAAACGCATAGATGCTTATTATTACAGCAATTATCACAAATACCAGAAAAACAATGAGTGCATAAGCACATATACGTAAATTTTTGGTTTTCTTAGTATGCTTCCGAATATTGCTGCTAGCGCAACACCACATACTATAAGTCCCAATATGATCACAAATATCAAACTGTAATCGATTTCCTCAGTTAATTCGGCTGCAACTTTCACTATTTCAAGGATGATTATAAAAATATTCAATGCTATCACGATAATTCTCAAGGTCTTTTCGCTACACATTCTCGATGGTATTAGTACTTTACTCCGTCCTATGTAGCTTCAATTTTGTCCATTCCACTTATATTAGCACTTTTATATAAATATTCGTCAGCTTACTTCAAACCGTTGATGTATTGAATGACAAATATGTTACAACGCGTCAACTATACGTCATTTGGTAATAGAGAGTTTTGAGTATGCTTGGAAATAATGTAACACCATGGAAACAATAACGCATCCTTGAGGGACGTTCACGTTGTGCTAAATATTGCTACTACACAGTTGACCAAGTTCGCAAGCTCACAAGGCCGCTGCTCGCACTGTGAATAAAATTAAATTGTCGGACTTTATGTCCAACCAAAAACAAAAATTATATTGAACAACAAATCTCTAAACTAATTATAATTTGGCATCATAAATACTAAAAAATACCCCAAATAAAAAGTAGATAGGTGTGTTGTGTTTTTCTATTTACTAGTAGACCTAAAACTTGTGAAAGTATGCTCAAAATTACAACACTCCTAGTCGGTGTTGTTTTTCCTATGTCATTTAGTATATTTATTTATTTCAGATATGGTCCATACTAACTACCATTTCACTATGTCCGGAGCACCCTGAATGTACCTTTACTGAAATTAGTGTCATAAATGAAAGATGTATCTTGACATAAAGGTCATGTAAGTGAGAATTATTTTGTAGTAGATGGATTTCTTCAGAAAAATTCAGCCACGCATTCCCATTGTTCTTCCTGTTCTTGTCAGCATACGCTCAGGAGATCACATTTGACGAGGGACAAGGATGTTTCGACAAGATCGCGCCAACACTTTGGTTTTGATCAGCCATACGTTTCCTGATGCCTTTTGTAGTGGTAATATATTATTTAACCTCTATTCATACAAATAACATTATAAAACCATTTAGAAAAGGACTATCTGACTGATACGAGCTCTGTAAATTAAGTGACACAGGCAACATAATATTCGATCTGGTAACTCTGGAAGTGCCGGGCTTGGAGGGAAGACAGGGGAACATGAGATCTGCCTTTGGTACAAGTTTGAACTCGCTGGAGCCATTTGGTTGACCGTAGCAATTTGTTTTGTGAACCAGTTTTTTCTATTGTGTTCTAAAAATGAGATAGAATCGCGTTTCGTCGATGAAGATGACATTATGCCATCCTGCTTCCCAATGTTGCCGTTATCTGCTCCAGTTTGCTCCTCTGACGTGGCGTTCTAGGGCTGCTTGGCGGATCCGCTCCCTGGTCTCCATTCTTGACCGAATTCTCTGAGAGAACAGCGGATAGGAACGCGTTTTTTTCCCTGCCATGGGCAGAGCTTTTGACTCTTGATCAGCATTTGTTTTATTTTTTTTTGTTTGTTAATGATTTATTTAGCATTGATGCTACAATGTCAATTTTGTATAATTATACGTTAACACATTTTTTTTAATTAATTTTCTGTAATTTTACGGTCTTGTCTATTGAAAGTACATCACTATGCATTTTGTGTATTCATAAAGTAATTTTTTTTTTCTAAACGCTGTTTAAGATCATTACTCAATTTGTTAAATTCAAATACTAAAATTACAATTTTGCAGATTAAAATCTATACTTCCTCTAGTTTCGCAACTATTAATGTGGTGGTAATAAATGATGTTTGGATATGAAAATGAGGATCAAATAGCATACACAATACAGGGCGTCCGCAAAGTTGGGGTTTTCCTTTACACGACGTGTAGATCTTGAAAACATAAGCAATTTTTCTTAGTACCATATACAGCAATGTCTTAAGGGAACCGAGATAAAGGGCTCTGCAACATCAAAAATATCTGATACCGTCCTGTAGCCGCGACCCGCGATATCACCGACTGGTACAAGGTCACTGGCTCAACCCGACGACAGAACTGGGTCGGGGGTCAGTGTGTCAGGTCAGTATGCAACCTTCAACCGACGGTTACGATTACGCGTGTAGAGGTAAACGATTCCGTATAATCGATTGCGTTTCAAAAAACATCAGCACTAGAGACGTGGCTAGAGAAGTGCAAGTATCAAAAACTAAAGTGTGGCAAACGCTGCGTGAATAGGGGCTGTATCCGTTTCACGTCCAACGTGTACAAGCCCTTCAACCTGACGATTTTCCAGCAAGAGTGCGGTTTTGTGAGTGGTTGTTGCATCAACATGACAATAATCCGGACTTTTTGAAGTGCATATTGGTGACAGATGAATCTACGTTCACGCGTATGGGTGAATAACTTTCGCAACACTCATGTTTGGTCAGTAAAAATCCGCACGCTGTCCGTCGGGCACATTTTCAACAGAAACATTTTCGGTGAATGTTTGGGCTGGCATGGTGAACGGTATGCTCATTGGACCATTTATTCTCCCAAATCGATTGGACGGGATGCAATACCTAGACTTTTTTATGCAACATTTTGCCTTCCTTGTTAGAAGATGTGCCATTAAGTGTAAGACAATCAATGTGGTTTTCTGCGTCTGCTCGGTAGCGCATCAGCTGATTTCATTTTCTGTTGGAGCGGTATGATTTTGGGCAGAGACGTACTTAGCCCTTCTCGTCAACTAGAGAGTGAGTACTTTTTCCTTTATTTTTTTTTACTTGGTCGCCCTCGTTTCACTACACATTACCTTTGTTATTTCAAGGGTAGTTGTTTCTGAAAAGGAAAACCCCAACTTTGCGGACACCCTGTATTTTACATTTAACCACTACAGTTATTCTAACATAGACTAATCGTAGCTTAAACGTTATTTACTTTGAGGAATTTGTTTTGATAATATGTGTTCATTCGCTGTAAACGAGATGGTTGTATAATATAAAAAATGTGGAAGGATTATAGTGTTATAAACAATTTTTTTACTAAAATAGGTACAATCATCAACGCAGCATTCATACTAACTGCAGCTCATTGTGCCAGTAGAAAGCAATTATATGTTTACCCGGGACTTGCTTTCGAATACATTGCAATGATGAAAGAAGAGGAAGCAAATGGCAGCAAGTAAGTTATTTGCATAATTAAAATAACATTTAAAGAAAAAACACATTCGACAGCAGAGGAGTGGTTTTGAGCAGCTGGGCAATTTTTTATCAGGAGACTATTGAAATGCCAGAAGATGAAGAGTTTTGATGGTAGTAGGGAGTATGTAGTAAAATGAAAATTCAAATTGAATGTAACTTTTTCGCAAATACGTCAGGTTTCGAGCATAGGGATCAACCCTCGTACAAATAAGATTTATACAATTCAAAATTAATTTTGTCAATTGCAGAGTAGTGGACCAACGTATTCATCCAAAATATGATAGAAAAACATTAGCCTACGACATAGCAGTGTTCGAAGTAGAACCAAGGATATCTCTAGATTCGGATATACTGGTGTTGTCTTTAATGCCTGGCTACCAAGTATTGATATGGGGTAAAGTATCATTCAACACATATTTTATTTTTATTTCGCATAAAACCAAAAGAGAAAGTTTTTATGTTGTTCCCAACGCCGTGCGCGACGCTAGGCGAAATCTGGCAACAGCGTCGTGTTTGTCGGCTCCCCCACCACCGAACCCACAAAAAGCGGCCTATGTTTAGTACAATAAATTGTAGATTATGATTGCCACGTTTTCTCCTGTATAACATGGCATAATCAGAATTTCAATTTGACGATTCATCTCTTGTCCTCCAGCATCAACTTTAGTTTTTCTTATAGACGCTATATTGGATTTTTGCACAGATGAATAGCTTTCAATTCTGATTCCAAAAATTAAGATACGTCATAAATTGATATTGCTAAACCTTAGTTATTCCAGGAAAAAAATAGAAGTTCCTAGGCATGTCTTGAAATTATCAGATCTCATTTGTTTCGTATACCAGACCAGACCTAAAATTGAACATAGCAACAGAATTCCGAAGGTTGAGAAGAAGATAAAGAAATCGAAAAGTGGATGGATCTATTGTAACTACATACCAAACATTCATTTTTACCTCACATCAGAAAAGCTGATTGGGATTGAATATTCTACGTATATCCGTTGTGAAAAGCCTAAGCCAGTGTCGAGTGGAAGTTATAAAAAAGTCAAATTATCTTCATATTTGCAAATTTTTACAGTGAAGACATTCGTGAGTACGCCGAGTGCACCAAGGACTCTTACGTGATGGGATGGACAAATTTGTTGTGAATACGACCTCAGCCGTTGCAATGTGTACCAGATCAAAGATCATGGCGATGGATGATTGTCAGCACAGTTACGGGATGTACGATGTGACCGATCGAATTTGTGTCAAAAAGAAATCGGATCTATGTCTGAATGCTGGTGGAGCAGTCATGTGCAATGGTCAACAGGTCGGAGTCTATCCTATGTGCACTGTGAGATAGGTTTAGTATGAGGAGCCACAAGATGCAATTTTATATTAAATTATTTAAATTATTAATTTCGAGCCATCTTAAATCTTTGATTTGGGGCCGTTCAAGTATTACGTAAGCAGATTTATTACAATTATTTACCCCCCCATCCCCCTTGTCAGCAACGTAAGCAAAGCTCTTACCCCTCCCCCAATGCTTACATAAACATTTGTCAATTAATGTATTGTTTTTTTTTAATATTATAATTATACTTCGAATTAGCGATGTATGTTGGTCCAGAATATCCAACGGTTTGCGGTTGTCCTAGCATATTGGAAGTGATTTTGATACCAGCATAAACAGATGGTATTAATTTATGACGCTCAACGATTACCCAATCGTGATCAGGCAATTGCTTCTATATTCCGTGTGCATTAGAAGAGGTGCTTGCTTATTTGCCGCAGTTACGCCAATAGGGACTCGAGCTTTATCATCTTTAGATATGAAAAATACTTGACTGTGGTCCAAGTATGGATGCTATGTTCTCTAAATAATCGATTGATGTTTCAGCGTACTTGCTAAGTGGCTCTTGTGGTGATCAGTTTGAGGCCGACTGAGATTAACAGGGACTGTCGATACATGTCTTCGTCCCTCTGCAGAATTAGATTTTCTGGGAATCAAATGAAGATATGTCCCACTGCGACTAATGTCAAATCCTATTTTACGTAATTCTTGTGCGAGTTCATCAAGGGTTTTTACGCTGCGAATTGATTCCGTTCGTCTTCTGTCATCTGCTGCACTCCCAAATAAAGCTATATCCGCGATTGTTTTCAATAGTGAATGTTGATTGCTTTCAAGATTAGGACGTCCCACTGTATACGTATAATGTATAAAACTAACATCCTGTACTTTGTGACCAATTGACGGAATCAATCATAAGAAATAAATCTATAATATAATGAATATTACCTCTATACTTTGAGATAGGCCATTATATTTTCTAATCAGGAAAGAGAAACTTTTTGGCGATTTTTAATATTTCTAGCACATATAGGTTTCTAAAATGATTTCATCACTCACCTTAGAAAAAAAAATTAGTAGATTGGATCTATTCTTATTCGCCGCTTGCAATTCTTCTTCGATTCTCTTAGATACAATAATATCTAGTTCCTTGTCGGATTTTGCTTGTAAATAGTTTGTAATTTCGCCACACTTCGTTAACTAACTTTTGTACATTTTGTACTTTCGTACTTGTATGAGATTTTTTAAAACTTTCAAACAATTTTTGGTATAACTTGGATTTGTCTATGTGAAACGACATCTAATTTAAACATTAAACTTGGCTAATGGAATCAATGGTAACACAAATGTTAACTTGCTTTACTATGCTTACAATACGTCTACTCGCTATAGTATCCAAACGAAACAATACACTGATAGACGAAATTTAGACAAGTGAACACCGGGCGGTAATTCCCCTATTCGGTTCTAAATCGAGTAGGGGAATTACCGCGCGCTGTTCACTAAACGTATGCATTATTTGCGGGAATCCCGAAAATGCGTTTAGTTTAGACAATGTGAGGGTTGTCATTCGTGTAAAAAAGTAAATAACTACCGATAACGTAATCATCATCTAGACTCCCCTATCCCCCATGTCATCCAAATGAGCAAAGCAAAGACACATACATCATTAAATTTTAAATCTGAGCTGGATGTTTTCAGGTCAGGGCTTGCTTTTAGATGTCTCCATTTATCTTTTTTGCAAAAAAGTACATTTGACTTTTGGGGATTGAGTTGTGAAGGCCAATTCTCAAAACAAGGGAGTAGAATATTGGGACCCTTCGGGAAACTCTTTTCTTAGAAGAATTTGTGACGAAACGTTTATTGATATGAAGAATCTAGGAACATACTAGTTTGCCGAAAATGGACGGTTTCTTAAACTTACTTCAAAGTATCCCTAAGTGCTGTTAGGTAGTAGAACTCGTTCTACTGATTATTCTACTCGCTCATCAGATGCTATCAAGGCTGACGTCAACGGGACGTTTGCACGTTCGTCTAACACGACGTCAATAATAGGATGTTCGTCGTTTATTCTAAAATCGCAAACATTATTATCTTTTCAGAAACAATTCGGAATAAAAAAATTACAGCAAAATTGGGCGCTGCTTCCAGTGTTCGGATGGATTGTAAAAATTTCAACAGTGGTTAACGCAATAAGTTCTGTTGTTACCGTGGTGAGGGAAGGGGGTAGATTATATTATATCTTCAAAAAGAGGTAAGTTGGAAATAGCAAATAATGTTGTGTCGAATCTCAGAAATAGATGCGGGCTCCCGTAGTTCCTCTACTCAAAAAATCGGTTGTCCCCTTTGCATACCTTAGAACATCTTTCACGCCAGCTAGTCATAACTTTTACACTCCTCTGCCCATGTCTAATCTGCTCCTCCCGGAAAAAGTCCTGCGGGCGCCCATCGTCACAGATCATCTATCTATAATGTATCCGAATCTCATTTGCTCCCCGCCAAAACAAACATAAGCGCCATGTTTACATTTCTGGGCTCCTATTGGCTAGCGGGCTCTGAACACCTGAGCGTGGCACTGACAAGCAAATGGAAGCGCCGAGCCAGCGTTGCCAGATTGGTCAGACAGAATTCCAACAAAAATCTCCCAGAATTGCAACTTTTTCAAACGTATAGCTCTATATCTTTCATGACTGTGGATACAGGTCTATCAACTTACAATTATTATTATAATTGTTTAGATAGGTGCGAGTGAGACCAAGGGCTATAGAAAGACAAAATTGTTATTCAAGAGTGTGGTTAAAAATAGAATAACCCAAAAATACCCAAAGGTCGTATTTTTCTCCCAAAATCTCCCAGTATATTTTATCCCACAAAAACTCCCCAAGGGAAAAATTTTCACTAATTTACGGGAATATCCCCCAATATGGCAACCCTACGCTGATCGAGTGCTCATGATTGTTTTGACACTGAGTAAGGGCCGTATCGTCAGTCGTTCCTTTATGGCGTCCTTGATTTTCAAAGTATTTTCTCTCCTTAAGAAAGGGTGGGGTATTTCTAGATTTCTACTGTTCTGTATCAGCGTCAGCGCTCGTATTGTGAAGTTATGTTTTCTTTTTGAATTGTAGGAAATTTCAAGCTGATAAAGCAGATGATATATATCAAAAGCATGGACAATTCGATGCAAATGGATATTCGTGACTTAACCTTAAAATAGAGCGCTGACACGGAACATTAGAGAACTTAGGGCGTCATACAATAATTGTAGAAACGACTGACGATATGGCCCTTAGACACACGAATAAATGTACTTTAGCCGTAGATGAACTTCAGGAAAGCCTTATGTAAGTATACGAATTGATACAGCATACGACTTCATAAATGGCGTTATCGAAAGAAGATCTGCTGCAGAATCTTTTCACAGACTAGACATATTCCTTTGATTATTTGCTTTTCACTTTTTGTAACTAGAAGAATGATTCAATAAAGTATTTTTTGTTCTCGATTGATATTTTAACTACAAGCTGGAGTCCATCGTTTCATCAACCAAAATAGGCGACACGTTCTGAGGCTTGACCTCTGAAAGCGGTATGAACTTCATTTTCCATGAAGCTTAACGTGCAGTATTTCGAAATGGTTGCTATAGTCTCCGAGATACATTTTGTATTATTGAAATTCATCTAAATTTTAGCTTTTTACGGTTTTTGACGGTTAATTCACAAAGTCATACAAAATAAGTAAACAGATTGACTAATGGTATCATGTGAGTAACAATCTAGTTTGACCTCTAATATTCATGACTTTCGGATATCTTTGATACATTTAATAAGATATACTTTTACAAATATGCAATGGATATAAACGGGTAAATAATCACCAGATTTGGTGGTAAAAATCACTATGCCTGGCAACCCTGATTAATTTGTAAGCGCATCGATTGTGACGTGGAAATAAGAGGGTTGTGTAAGTCTGGTTGCCTATAGGTTCAGCTTGACGCAAATATGAATAAAATTTTCGGCTTGGTTGTATTGGAAATTGAGCGTCATTTGTTCTGTGATTAAGGTAGTTAATTGAAAATTCAAATTTTCTGACGGGAGTATAAGAAAAAATATTCTCGCGCGTCTTTGACGCTTTGAGCAAATTTGTCAAATACACTTTTTAACGTACAAAATCAGAGAAAAGCAGTTTCATTTGATTGAAAGGAGATGGTACCTGCTCAGTCGCCGGAAGAGTATTTTCGGTGGGCCTCTTCTAGACAATGTAATCACAAATCTTATTAGTCAATATCTAAAAACCATTAAGCAACTCGCAATCGAGTACTATATTTTATGTCGAAGATAAGCAAAGATGAATACATATAGCACGGTCATTACAAGTTCAAGTTATCATACTGACAGTGACAATCATAAATGCGGTTGACTCATATGTCGCTTCAAGGCTGTGAGATAAGACTAAAAAACTTATATTTACCCCAACCAACAAATTCAGACTAAATAGGTAGAAGGAGAGAGTCTATGATTTGTTTGTGTCCAAAGTCTCAGTCTGTAGTCAGGACGAATGCTCATACTGCAAGTTGATCAGGCTTAAGCCGCTAGTTTGACAATTGTTGACATTTCACACTAAATTGATATTTTTCTAAGAAAACATAAAATCGCGGGGGTTACATTCATTCACAATATCAAAATCTACTCATTTCTCTTCAACATTTGTTCTGCACTATCAATGCGTGTAAACTGGGACCCAGTTCTCAGACAGCGCGGTATTCCGGCTTCTATTCTCATATATGTTTAGATGAAAATTCTGGAGTAGCAAAATACTCGGTTGGAAGATTCTGAAACGAGAGAGGCACGAACGTGTTTTCATATTTCATGTAAATTATGAGATTTTCATTTTAAAAATCTGGAGTCGTACTCAGTTGTACCATTCTAGGTTACGCCACTGTCGAGTGACAGCGAGTGCATTGGAGACAGATCAATGTAGATCGACCAATCAACGACGGGATAGACGACAGGCCTGCCTTTTATAATTATACCTACACCTACCCAAATTGTTTGCATTTTACATCCGCAGGTGATCCACAGTCTGTGGGAATACATATGTTTTTGTGTTCTATGTTCCACGTGATCGTGATCCCATGATCCATGACGTTTCCCGGGAATTAGGAGGTTATGTGATGCTGCCGCTTTGTTTATTTTGATTTCATGTGGATATCATATTAAAAAAATCAATGATTATCAGTGATGAATTGTATTATACCAGGACCAAACATCAAAAGTAAGACTCGGATACCATTTTGATTGTATTGTTTGAATATTCTTATTTTCAGTACTCTCGAAAGCACTACATGCCTTGGCCAAAGTGGGGGATGAACTTTTCATTGAAGCTAGAAGAGAGAAACTGGTCTTCATATCTTTAAATTTGAGGAAAACAGTTTGCGTGAAGTATTATTTCTTAGATAGCTTCTTTTCAAGCTATGTAGTTGTTGAAGATGCACTGAATGACCAAAATGAAGCCATAACTTGTAAAATACACATTAAAACGATACTACCCCTATTTAAGGGAATCCACTTAGAAAAAAAGGTAATTGAGTGACTTCTAGACACTTAAAGAAAGTAGGTTCTAAGTGTTCCTTTGGAAAAGTTTTAGAATTTGGAATATACATGTGAATCTATAAAAATCTATTACCACTATTTAAATCTTGATATTAAGGGCGTACACAGCTTAAAATGAAAGGGGGGTGGCTTCAAAAGATTTTTGTGGTGGAAATTCCACAAATCATTTTACTATGCTTGATATTCCACTTTCTATTTTGAAACATTATTGTCAATAAGCCCTTGCTTTTGCAGCTCGACTATATTAAGTTAGATCATGAAGCGAACAGTGATAAAATAACATTGAGAATGAAATATAAATGTGATGATATTATAATGATACACAGCTTAAAGCTTATGGAACCAGCTATATTGACTATCGATGTGAAACCTGATTCAGGATGTAATAATATTTTAACAACTAGTTCATGCTATAACCAGTTACTAGGCATGTTCAGTTCTTCAGATGATGAAATCACATTGGAGATTTCGAAAAACAAGATGAATGCAAAGAATTATTGCACAGGTTTGTATTTAAAAAGGCATATGCTTAAATGTTTCTTGTATAGAACCTGCCAGATATATTAGCCCTAACACAAAATTGTTCGGACAATATATAATTTCATCTAAAAGTTAGTTTACTCTTCTAAGGTTAAAAATTAATTGTATTTCTTTTATAAGACTACGAAATATATAGGGTGACGGGAAAATAGATGCGGAGCCAGTGGGGGGAGATAGTACAAGCCAATCTGAGTCGATTTTACTATAGGAACTACTGTCCGAAAATTAGCCGTTTTCGAATTATACTAATTTTATAAAATTAACGTACTTTATATGTTAACCAAGTCATAAAACTTGAAAATGGGGTGTTTCATTTGATTTTTTCTTTGGTTTTACAATAAAATACGAAAATTGATACTCAAATGTACATTATTGACGTTATCTCATGCAGTAAGCTTCAAAATAGTTCAATTTTTGTTAAAAAAAATCTTCGTTCATCTCATAAACTCAATTTACTAGAAACAACATGTACAAATTTTTCGTGCAAAACAATTTTAAAATATCTACCTTTCATTACCTTTCAAATGAGGTATCAAAGTCACAAACTGGTTTAGAAACGACAAAGATATGAGTGAAAGAAACATATAGAGCCGCGAACATCGGACTTTGCCACCGGAATAGTGTGGTAAGACTAGTCACCCCCCTCCCTCCCTCGCGTCAATCTGCTCTTGCGATCTGTTGCGTTCGGATGTGTTTGTTTGCTCGGTGTTTGATATTTCTAACCACTTGAATGGAGGTACCAGGTAAGTTTCCGAATCGATGGATCGGTAGAGGCGGACCAATCCCATGGCCAGCACGCAGTCCCGAACTCACACCTATGGACTTTTTTGTATGGGGTCGCATGAAAACTTTAGTATACTCTGATCAAAGTCCTGTACCCACAATAGAAGACATCAGAAGCAGAATAATACATGCGCACAAAAAATTCAAGCCTCTCTTAGGAATTAGGCGGTAGTAAAATCATCATATTGAAAATGTATTATAAAAATAAAAAAATGTAGTTTCAAACAAATTATCCTGTATTAAGGTATGATTTTGTAAGTGTAGTTTTTTTATTGTCTTTTCTTACCTCTTTTTATAATATACTAAGTGACATATAAATCCGAACACCCAGTTTAAATGGTTTTATTTTAATAAAATTTTGTATAAGTACTTAATGAAGCATAATAAGTAAATGATAAAAATTTCAAAATGATTGCACTGCTTTAAAGCCCTTTGACCTTTAATAATGTGTGGATGCACCCTGATGTGCTACGCATTCTCCAACGCGCCTAGGCATGCTTCTGATCAGGTGGTCAATGTCCTCCTGTGGTATCTCATTCCAGGTAACCACCAACTCCTCTCGAAGTGCTTCTAGAGTCTGAGGAGGACGTTGCAAATTGAGCAATCTCCTACCCATCATATCCCACACGTGCTCAATTGGGGATAAGTCGGGAGATCTTGGTGGCCATGGTAACAATGTGACATCATTATGTTGAAAGAAGTCTATTGTGACTCTTGCAACATGTGGTCGGGCATTATCTTGTTAGAAAGTTGGTTCTGCCAGGGTGTCAAGATAGGGTAAAAGATGGGGTTCTAGAACTTCGTGGATATAACGCTGCGCGTTCATGTTACCTATGATGAAGATTAAAGGTGACCTGGAACCATAAGCTATAGCACCCCAAACCATAACTCCAACAGTGTGATGAACATGTCTTTCAACAAAAAACTGTGGATTCCTCCTTCACCACGTCGCCTTCTAACCCTGGCACGACTATCGTGCATGCCTAAATAAAATCGAGACTCGTCACTAAAGACAATACTGTTCCATTCCTGATCCGAGAGTGACCGTTGTCTGCACCACTCAAGGCGATTACGTCGGTGTTCTCGAGTTAAAGGGAGGACCCAGTGTGGCCGGTATGAAAACAAGCCAAAACTTCTCATTCGTCGGTAAACACTTCGCATGCCAATAGGTCTTCCGTGTTCTGCAAACCATTCATTTGCAATGGACCTGGTAGTGGAGAAACGGTCCCTTAAGGCCAATAATCTTAGGCGGCGATCTTCACGGTCTGTCGTTCTACGGCGGCGTCCAGTGCCCCTTGCTCTTTGCGTACGGCCTTCTCGAAGCCATGCCTAACAACACCTAACCACACTGTCTACACTTCTTTGCACTCTAACTGCAATTGCCCGAAAAGAAAGTCCAGCTTCCCGAAGTCCCACTATACGGCCCCTATCAAACTCACTAAGTTGACGAAATCGTACAGGTCTCCGTACTCTAGGCATCGTAAGCGATCGTAAAGGATGTCAAGAACCAAAATCCGCCAACGTTGATTCTTTACTGCGGCTGAAATATTCA